TATTTAAAGGTAGTAGAGGACATGTACCTGTATATAAAAAACGCGCCCTATAGTCCGGTGCGCCTTATGTGTGTGTTAAATACAGAAATGGGACACATAACTGAGAGTGCGCCTTTTAGTCCGGTGCGCCTTATGGTCGTGAAAATACGGTACTCAACTGTTGGTTTGAGACGATCTGGCACTGGGAACAGATCCAAATGAGGTATATATAGAGGTGTAACCAGTTAGTGATAATAGCAGGCAGGGTGGAGTGAGCAGGTGTGTCGAGTTGAGGATTAAGCCAGCACCAGTGCCGAGATCGTCACAGAATCTAGCTTTCTAAGGATGTATAACATGTGTATATTGGTAAAAGTTTAACTGGTGTTATTTTCAAGCATACTGCTGTAAATGCACAAAACGGAGCACCGGTATTATGGCAAGCAAGTATTTCTTGGCATTTATCTGTCCACTAAACTCTCAATAATAGGGCATCCATTCTTAAGAAATATGAAAACATTAAGAATATTTCGATCCGTTTTCTCATTAGTGTGCAAGAGTTATTTTTAGCGGGCAGGTATTTCTCAGCATAACACCAGCGGAGGCATTTCCAGCGTAGAGAACTATCGTGAAGGAATTGTATGTATGCATATAATTCAAAAATACACAAACAACTGTTGGACATATCTTCCACTACAGAATCCTCTTTCATGCTTTTAAGGGAATTTAGTGCAGATAATATTTAATATTTAGTATATATTGAAATGGTTATTAATGACACTGTTCAGACAAACTGTCCACCTTTTTGTGCTGGTGCCATTTTTTAGATTATACAGTAGACATGTATTATTAAGTAGTTCATTGCAATAAAGAAGTTGTGTGCCTAGGGCACTTTATTATAATTTATTCTTTGTTTGCATATTACCTTATATGTCTGCTTCTGTCTCCTTGAACTCCAGTCGGCCTCTGCAGATGGCTGCTCACACTGAGTCTGGTTCTGCTAGAGGATTCTTCCTGTTAAAAGGGAGTTGTTCCTCTCCACTGTCGCTACAAGCATGCTTAGTGTGAGGGATTGCTTTCGAGTCAATGAGTCGATGCGATCAACTGGTTTTCCTTTGATAGAAAACTTTGAACCAATTTGACTGTTTGATCTGGTGAACTGTAAAGTGTCTTGAGTTGACATGTGTTGTGATTATATATTAATAAACTGAATTAAATTGCACATCGTTTACAAAGGATTTTAAGGTGTACTTGGACAATTTGCTTTCTAAAAGAAGCAGCTGGAAAAAAACACTCTACTAGGAGCACCACCTCAATATCACTTGGGAGGAATGGTCAGTGGGCATCCCTTACTTTTATTCATGAAAGGTGGTAACCCTACTCATTGTTGTTTTTGAAATTTTAACTCATACCTTCACTACACCCTTAGCATATAGATTTTGAAACACATCTATTTTTCTGTAGTCTGGACATCAGCTTATATTGCCACCAATGGGCCACTTCATGTTGGATTTACAAGATGGGCAAAAGTAAAAGCAGAGCAGTCTCTCTTTTCTAGCTTTAGGTTATGTAGGCTTACTTGCAGCTTGAAGCAACTCATCCAATATTCAAATGATAAAAAAACATTACTTCTATAAGATTAGAGCCTTCACAAGAATGAGCAAGTTGTTTTTTGAATGTAAAGATCATTTATCAAAGTAAAAACGATTGGGTCCAGTTGATAGCGGTTTCGTCAATGTCCAGGTTTAAATGTGTTTGTGTGCACGATTCTTTGTAAAAAATTATCCCAGTGATGTAAGCACATATTTTTCAAACACAACATGTAACACCTTTGGGAGTATAATCCTGCCTACGCCTATTATAAAAGATTTGATTGAAAAACACAATTATAATCAGTTTTGAAGTGTTTTGCATCTATCATGAACAAGCCACAGACTAATTAGTTTGTGTTTTAAATATACAAGGAACAAATATGCTTTGAAATCTCTCACAAAGATGTTCTGATGAACTAAGGTGTTTCTGTGAAACAATGTGAGAAGAAGTTCATTATGGCACCACTATCCTTTTCATGTTATTATTCTTGAGCTTTGAGTGATTCAGAAATGGCTCAAACTTAATCTGTTCTAGAGAAGCATAATAAACCATGGTTGTTGAACCAGGAATTGAACCAAATTCATGATGTTCACTACTGAACTGAACCACCAAAAAAACTACACCTGCTTCCTGATGCTGGCCCCACTCTCCAAACAACAAATATCAGTGTAAGATTGATAGAAGAGGAAGAAAATTAGAAAACTGATAGAAAGAAGATTAAATGGAAAGGAAGAATCTATTTAGAGTAAAGCAGAGAGCAGGTAGAAGTCAGTTACAAATAGAAAATGGAGAGGAAAGGAGACAGAGAAGACTGAATGACCAGATGGCAGTAATAAACATTATCAATTGATTCATTTTATCAATCTTAGGAAATATGACAGGGTCATTCCTGGATTTTACACTTGATTTTTGTTGTTTAAATATTAATAAATCTGTAAAAATGGATGAAAGCATCACTGTCCCCCTTTCCTATTTTAATTCTGATTATGTCTTTCTTTGTATTTACGAGCTTGAAATGTCCCCAGATTCTATTTAAAAAATCTGGTCATCTTAGCTTTCAGTGTCACAGCCATATTTTTGTGATTGCTTCTAACTGTTTTAGCTAGCTTTTAGCCATAACTGTTAGTTTTTAATAAAGTTGTAGGGAAATCATATTTAAATCTCAAATCTCACTGGCTAAAACATGTATATAAATTTACTCTTTATCAGACTTTTCATATTGTCCCAAAATTTCTATTTAAAAAAAATCCTGTCTTAAAATATGTGCTGTTTTTTTTCATTATCTTATACAGGCCAGTTAGTTATACGTCAGCCTGTACACCTAAATTCGGCCAATCATATATCAGCGGTCATCTGTCAATCAAATTTTTTTTGGTCATAGCATCTTAATTCATATGTCGCAGCTAATTTACGCAACGGTTGAAATAAGAATGCTTAACTTTAGCATTGAGTTCCGTCCCAGTGTTCACGGGGATGGACGTCTGTGTCTTGGCAGGCGTATAGCTAACTGAACTGGCAGCGCTGTGAGGCAAGGGCTCAAACATGTATGGCTGTCTTCTGCCGCCCTGGTGTCCTCTTCCACAACAACTTCGTTCCCACGTTCCTCCTCTAAGTAAAAAATATATGACGGAGGAGGCTCATCCACGACCTCCAACACAAGCCTCTCCTCCTCTTGCATGTTTCCGCTGTCCATAGCATTCCTTGACAGTGTCGTTTCTAAGGCTACATTCACACTGCAGGCCTTGTTGCTCAATTCCGATTTTTTTGTGAAATCCGATCTTTTTTGCGTTGCCATTCACATTTTCAAATATATGCGACTTATATTTGATCTCCTGTGTGAACTGCAGTCATACAACGCAATTGAAGCAACGCATTTAAAAAGATCAGATTTGTATCGGATTCAGAACCCCATAGCCAAGCGGCCTGGGTTGCACTGGAAAAAATCGGATCTGTGATGTTCAGACAGCCATGAAAACATCAGATACAGGTCGCATATGGGACAAATTATCGGATTTGGGTCACTTCAGGCTGTAGTGTGAACGTAGCCTTAGTCACAAATTTAGTGCTACTTGGTCCCAATGTAATTTCCCATTAGGAACCTACTAGCACTAAGTTGCTAACTGGTTAGCAAGATGGTTCCGACAAACCGGCCGCAATCAAATGTGCTTGCAAACCTTCCACCACAACATCCCGCCCTCTTGATAAACGACCAATCAAATTCACTTTTTTCACACATGTAAAGTCGTGCACCACACGGGGGAATTCGCCAGTGCAACGGTTGGAACAGCCGCTTCCCTACGACTTTAACTGTTACCGTAGTCCTGCCTTTGAAAATTTGTTTTACCAGACTGATATGTCATGTATACTGAGTAATCCAGTCTAGCTTGCCAAGCTCAGTGATGTTAATACTGGAAGGGTGTTAACATTAGCCTGTCTAGCTATCACCACTTTCAATGACTATCTGTACCAGAACATTTGACCATGTTCAAACAGAAATTTATCTAGGTGACCATTAGATAATATAAATATATACCAAGAACAACTTATTTCTATCCCTAAATTATCAAAGCATACTAAACTTCATTGTCTAAAATATTAATAACAGGTTTGCTGAGACAATGTCGCCGCAGGCTACATCTACCTTCATTACTTCCCCTCACCAAAGAAATAATTAGAACAAATACCACCTGGAGTTTTCTGCAAAACATATTCACAAAATTACCAAACAACTTAAAAACATGTAACTAAGCAACTAAAAGATTACATCCCTCCAAAGAATACAAAAGCTGAGCTCTCTGGCATTTGAAACTACAGTGTGGATAACAGATTAATCAGTTGTAAAGCACTTGTATTGAGCCTAAGGCGTGATTCCATTTCAAAAGCATGGTGCATGATGTTTATGGTGTTTATAGTAACAAAATTCCTGTCCTGTAAGAACCACATTCAATCTTTTTTCATATGGCCCCTTTTAAAGTATTTATTTTAGAAAATAATTGAACTCATTTCACTGTTTAAATGTCTCTAAGGGATTTTATAATAACAGGCTATGGTTGTATTTCAAAAGCACTTTATTTTTATTTTTACCTGCTAATATCTCCTTATTTCTATCTAGACATGAGCTCAGGATGGGTTTTTTCTCCTTATATATGACTCTGTATGTCTTCCTTCTCTCCGTGAAGGTTAATGATATGGGTGAAGGAGGTCACTGATTCACCTTTTCCCTCTCATTGTTTCTCCCCATCCATCTTTGTATCCTCCCCTGTCCCCTACCTTCACCTTTGTTTAGGGATTTTTTTTCTAACTCCTGCTTTCTCGCTTATCACCCTTCCATCATCCACTTAACCCTGAGCAGCTAATCCCCACAGTATGGATGTGGGCTTGCTCTTTCTCTTTATTATTGTTTTTTTTATACTAACTTCCTGTCTCTGTAGGTGTTCTGTGGTTGTGCATCGTGGCAGAGTGCCTGTACATTCTGCTGCTGGCCACCGGAGGTATCCTCATGTCTTTAGAAGTGTGTCACATTGGGAATGTCATTGACGGACTGAAGCTCAATGCCTTTGCTGCCATATTCACTGTTCTCTCAGGTAAGATATTCTCATGTTTTAAACAAAGTTGAGATTAACCATCAAATATTGGATTTCTATCATTTTTTTTAAATCTTTTTTTGTTTTAGTAATTGGGTATTATGACATTTTCTGTAAGAAAACAAGTATGTTTTTATTTATTTTTTTTTACTTCCGAAAAAATATTAAAAGTCATCATCCGCAAATTGAAATTTTCATGTTAAAAACGTGTGCTGACATTTGGCTTCAGATACAACCTATTCCAGTGGCAACCAATTAAAAATCAGCAGGGTCCAAATAAAGAAAATCATCAACCAGTAAAGGTCCGGAGACATTTTTAATCATCAAACTGTTACTTTAAACAGAATTTAACACTTAAATAAAATGAAGTGTTTATGCATCCATGTTATACATTGACTTTTTAAATAAAGAGAAAATAGAAAAGAAAATTGAAAATGTTTCCATTTTAAAATCCAAAGTATTTTTTTTATGTAGAAAACAACAATCGTTCAGTTTGGTACAATTTCCTGATACACATATTTTATAAAACACCTGAACTGACCGTTTTGTTTTGTTGTTTTTTTTTCTTTTTTGTGGCTTAATGAGAGCAGTGGGCTTTATGCTGCCCTGCGAGGCGTTAAACCTGGGTTTGAATGGAGACAAAGCCATTCTCAAGCACATATAAAGGTGCTCATTTGTAAGCCTGGATCCATATTTGTTTTTTATTATGTTCATGGTGGAGAATCCTTCAGCTTTGAGCACCATTTCACTTTTCTGTCACCAGTTCACTGCAGTTCTTCCAGCAGTCCACACTTTCTGTGCTTTCTTTTTCTCATCATCATCTCCTTCTTTCCCATCGCCCGGCTTGCCACAGGTTTGCCTGCTGTGTCTAAAAGTAGCAGCAACCCAGACTGACAGCAGCTCATTGGCTAATTTGTATCACATGTAGCCTGGTGCCGGACACTCCGGAGGGCTTTACCATACAAACAGGAGAAGCGGAGCAAGTGAAGTTAGACACTGTCATTGGACAACATGTGGTAATTTTATAGATGTTCTAAATCAGGTTGGATCCGGACCGAGCTAGTGACCTCTGACTTATAGGAAAATCCGAAGTGTAAGAGTGGCATGGTTATTTCTTAAGATTGTATTGGTCCAATTAGATCAGGTATTCCCAAAATCAATCCCAAAGGGCCATTGTTCTGCATGTTTAAGATGTTTCCCTGCTTCAGTACAGCTGATTTCCATTGTTAGCAGAACTGCAATCATCAGAATGAGCTGTGCTGAGGCAGGCAAACCTCTAAAAGCTGCAGGACATCGGCCCTAGTGGACCGAGCTTGGGAATGCCTGAACTAACTAAAGCCCAGAGTATGCTCTCCTCAAAACACCGTTTTGGTCCTCCTTCAGTAGCGACACGTTACTTTCACTAGTTGTTAGTCAGTCTGGTAAGGCTCAGTACTATCCAGTCTAAAAAGTCTAGACTAATCACTGTGCATAAGCCATGATTGATGCCCATTGTGCGACAATGTTTTCCTATACCTGTAACAGTCAAGACTGCAGCTGCGACTGAGCAATGTTTTAATTGTGCCCTTCAGTATATCCCCAAAAAACTGTTTATATCGTTATACTTTAAACAAATGACTGCTGAGCTTTCAATGACAAAGCCATATTTTTCTGATTGCTTCTAACTATTTTAGCTAGCTTTTAGCTTTAACTGTTAGTCTTTAACTGTTAAGGGCTGATTATATTTCTGCAACCACACACATCAAATGTCACTTGAGTCTGGTCGCAAACCAGTTTTTCTAGAGATGCACAGCAGTTTCCCGCCAAAGCGAAAGGGGAGCCTATTCGAGGACTTGCGAGAAGTTCGGTGGATGGTCTCGAGAACTTCTTCGGCTGCGCCTGCGGGAGTGTTTATTTTCCAAAACAACATGTCTGAGGCATTGTACAAGTGGTTGTACTTCCGAACCTCCTCGATCAACCTTTCGTCGTGGTTATCCATTGTTGTTAATACTCCTCAGTTTTTAAAAATGGCCACTGCACCGAATAGAAAAGGACGACCATACAGAAAGCCGGAAAGGCATACCAAGGACCATCACAGCTGCTTTTTGTCTGCACACCTCCACTTGAGGTCTGCGCAGGTTTCCGACCATCCGACATGTAGTCAGGATTTTTTTGAGAATGCAGAACCTCTGCTTGGGGGGCGTGGTCGCGCACAGAGACAGATTTGACGGTTTCAGAGGCAACAGGGGCTGTTCCAAAAGAGTTAAACTATGACCTGGTTGACTGAGAATCTTCATCAGCATGTTTATCTGTTTTTTTTCTTTTTTTTTTATTATGATTATGCACCATATACTATACAGGCAGGATGGAATACAATCAAACCAAAATTGCAACAATTATTTACTAATAAAAAGCCAAACAATTTAGTGCTGAAAGTAGGGAAGGGGTCAACCAGACTGGATGGAAGTGCATTTATTCTCTCAGCAAAGTTACTGTTAACCTTTTGCACAATATAGTTTAATGCGCTTTTTGTAATCAGTGATACAATTTTAATCATATGTATGTTCTGGTGAACCATAAAAGTGCCTTGAGATTACATGTGTTGTGAATTGGCGCTATATAAATAAAATGAATTGAATAATTTCAGTCCTTTTTCATTAAGGTAGATCCTGGTGGCTCAGATGTATTTTGGCTGTGCATGTGCAAATACTGTAAGCTGATCGTGCTACCTGCACAGATCGGGTAGTGACACAGACTCCCATCAGCATTCAACCAAAAAGTATGATTCCAACAATCAGGGACTCACCTATATGCAATGTCACACACATTAGGTTTTAACTAAATGCTTAAATAAACGTAAACGAGCCATGGCAAATCTGCTAATGTTGCTTAACGTACGTCAACATAAACATTCATTCACACAAGTTAAATTCTCATTTGTGCCATCAGTAGAAAAAAAAGGAGTAGGAAAAGGGATTTGGTATAAGCTCAATTATTTATTTTTTTCTTAAAAGGATTAAGCATGAATTTAAATACAATTTCAGAAGGATTAGATTTGTGAAATACCAGACCATGACTCATTTAAAGCTATTGTAGAAAGGTTTTGAAGTGACAGTAGAGAAATGAAAAAGAAATGTATCATTGACAACCTGTGCAACTGATTAAAATTGTCATGTTTAATACGGTTTGCAAATATGAAGGTTTCACAGAAAATCTACAATTTCTCTCAAATATGAAGATTTAAACTAAAGATACATGAGTAGTTATCAATGTTATGCGACTGGTTTCACCTCTCAAATACGATAAAGTCAGATTCGATGTTTTGTTCTAGCAGAATACAATTTGATGCAACACTGTTTTTTTGGGGTGAAGCCACAAAGCGATGCCATTTGACTCAGTGAAATTAAAAAAATAAGCAATTAATGAAAACCTTCTCTTACAAAAATCTTATACAATAAATAAACCATATAATGTAATTCTGATATGTCACATTAAATAAGGGAAATTTACATCTTTTCCTAATTTTGAGCTTTCTGGAATCTTACTAAACATCTCAAATGAAGTAAAATATCTTGGTCAGGTGCTGAAATACTGTCTATCAAATGATGAGGACGTTTAACGTCAGGTTTGAATGTTATTTAGTGAAACTAATGTTCTAGTTTAGGAAATTTGGTTATTGCTCTGAAGTTAACCTGAACTTGTTTAGATCATATTGTAGTTCACTGATGGTAGTACTGTAAAAAAAAACAAGCCTTCAAAGATTGATGGTGGCTTATAATGATTCATTAAAGAGACATTTTATAAAAAGTATATCTAAAAGAGTTCCATGTGAAATGGATCCAACATAGCAAACAATTGAAGCGTTATATTCAAGTTGGTGTCGGAGTTTAGCCATTGGTGTCTCAACTCAGACACCAATGGCTAAACTCCAAGTAAGAGGAAAAAAGTAAAAAAAAAAAAAAAAAAAAACCTTGTTAAATACGAGCGCGTGCTACAAGGACAAGCAGAAGAGTGCTGCAGTTCTGCGTTTTGGCCACAGGTGGCAGTATCGTTAGAAAACTTGGTTTTTCTTTTTTAAGATTTTCGTATAAGAAGCCCAACTGGACAAGTGCCAGTGGACTGTTTGTGAATGTCAACTCTTTTCTGGCGGTCTTAAGGAAGCTTACTGTCGGTGTTCTGTCAGATCAGCAAATCCCGTCAGACCAGCATAGCCATAGTCAATACGCATGCACAAGACATCAGATTTGCGTTTATCCCTTTCGTTTTGTATGAAACTACGTCAATGGGAGTGTATCCCTTTAATCATGTCCCAAAAAAACAAAACGGGTTTTGACAATTGGTATGCTGATCTGACCAGGTATGCTCATCTGACAGAACACTGGCTAAATGATTCACATATTAGAATAATTTTACCGTTGACTTACATTAACTATAATGCAGTAAGCATCTGTGTATTGCCTCCTAAAAGATTGGTTTTAATACATTTCTTTTTTCACTTTTGATGTTTTTAATGGCTGGACTATGAGTCTGAAATAAAATCTATTTAATAATCCTACAGAGTTCTTTTAAAACACTTAGATCTTGTGTCGCATAAACAATACCTAAAAAAGCTGTTATGTAACAGAGAAGTTTATTAACCTTTAATTAGCAGTAAGCATTGATTTTTCTTTCTTTCTCTCTGCATAGAACTACTTAAAATATTGACATAATGACTGTCATGGGAAAGAGAGTTTTTGAAATAGAGATTCAAATCATTTTAAAATGTGGCAGAAGACTCCAGAATACAGAACAATAAAATGTTTTGTGAGGATTAATGATGGCTCCACAGGATCATGGTGAATTAAACTTGAAATACTTTCTTGTTTGTTATTTTGTAATAGTTTCTGCAGGTTTCACAGATCTATTTTCATAAGTAATATTTATTAAGCTCAAGATGAAGGTCTAACTACTTAAATCAACATGCTAAAAGCACATTATGTTGTGTGCCTACAGCCATGCATTGCTGTAGGGATGACATTTAT